AGGGCACCTACACAAATTGCCAGCTCGATTCCTAGTAGGGGGTGTGCAGGAGGCAGCCAATCAATGAATCTCTCTCATCATAGATGTTTCTATCCCTCTCTATCTCTCCCTTCTCTCTCTGAAATCAATAAAATAAAATAAAAAACTTTTAAATAAAAAATAATAAAGATCACTAAGAAATTATTTAGTAGCCAAATACTTAGTATTTAAGTGGCTACCCTTGAAATACTAACATTTCCTGACATAGCGAAGTGAAAGCAATGACTGAATAAGTTTTAGAATTCCCTAGGTCAAGAAACTTGACAATGTGAGTGATTTGGGAATGATTCCTATACTTAAAAGCAGCAGTCGCACTGACATTGAAACCAACTAGCGAAACCTGAAAGCTGCATTTTCAGATACCATTAATCGAAATTTTCATGTTACTTTTTTAAGCAGGTAGACTTTAAAAACATCTCTTTGAGGACAAATATGTAACTGGAAAACATACTTGTACATACTTGTACTGTGGAAAGTGAAACCTATTAGACTAACATGTAGAACAAAAAACATTGGGAACTGAAAACAAAATTCAGACACAAAGACAGTGTCTCACATTAGGTTGAAAACCACTATCTCATATTAGGTTGGCCTATCTCTGTGATTTTTGATTTAAAAAGTAGAGGCATTATCACTTAGCACAATTCCTAGGCATATTAGTTCTAAATTAAGAAGTTCTCAAATTTTCATGAGATTGTCCAACAAAATCGGCTTTTAAGAAAGTAAAGTTTGCCAGTCTGGGGGAAGAGAAGGAAAGCCATGGCATTAATACCAACTGTACCCCAACTTCGTGCCTGTCACATGTGGAAATCTAGTGGTCCTGTGTCTCCTGTCTGCCCCTTCTACTCGTTAGTCAATTAGGTAGAGCTGAATTCCAAAGAGTTAAATGCACAAATTCATATCTGGGTTCTTGAAAACAAAAAAAGTAAATAGGCAATATATACCCACTCTACACTACTCCTTTTATGGAGTCTCTAATAAATAACAAGATAACTCAATATTAAATTCCTGTGTGCACTTCTTTAACAACTATTCATCTGCACCACGCCCAGGTGGCTCCACGGGCACAGATCAAATGGGACTTCCCAGACGTTCCTCTACAGACCGGGTGCTCAGGAAATGAGCTGGCTGTCAACAGGAATACCACACTCTCCCAGGAGCAATGGGAGCTCACTGCAGGGCTACTGCTGGGGACAGATAAGATCCCAGTGTCCTTCGCTCTTGCTCCACAGATTTCTGTATCTTCTGTGTACCCTCGATGAATGTGAATTTAGGCTTTCCTAATTTGAATGTTTTATCACTTTATTTGTATGTGAGTGTGTTCATTTCACAAAGCAAAATTCAGTTTAGTGAATGCTGACCAAAACCCCCTATTGGGAAATACCAGGACAGGGCCATCAGTAAGAGATCTCCCGGCGGCTGTGGCATCCACAACACTGTCTCCACCATTTGCATAATATCATTCAGGAGAGCACTGGCTTACGGACGAGAACTGGGCTTCCTTTAACTGGGCTCGGTCTGTTTTATGATTGGGGGTCTATATGCGGAGCACAGGGCATGAAAAAGAAATTCACTAAAAGTTCACAAAACTACATTTACATTCATAGCAACAAGTTTAACCTAGGAGTACAAAAGGAAAAAATGGTATTACTCAAAAAAGATCTGGCATAAGTAAAACAACAGAAGATGACCTAGAATTAACCTCCTATCCCAACAATATTTTGATGGACATTTTAAAGACATATTCTATTGTATGTTTCTAAAATAGATTCCACATCTGGTTATTTTCTCTGCGGGAGACTGATTACAGAAATAAGCAGAGCTCTGCATTTTCAATAACCAAAGTTCACTGCTTAAGACCTAGCATTTGGGACTTTAAAAAAGATACATGTTAAACAGTAGGAAATAACTGAGCTGAAGAAAACATTTCTCAAATTATATCACCCACATGACGATGTCCTAATGCAACTATTCCCTGTCATCCAAGCCAAAGCAGCTTGATAGGATCAACACCCTCGAGTATGTGTAACTTAAAGTTCACTGCCTCACAAAGCATTTTCTCTTGTTATCCTCTGGTACTCAAGGATTTGCCCAATTGTAAAATACAAGTAGATGAAAACTACAAATGATTATTCTAATTTTATATAAGCAAACAAATTTTTGCAAAAATATTGATTACATACATTACTTTCTTTTTCTTCAACTACAATTGCTTTTTCATGTCAAATGCTATCCCTAAAATACAAAATTTATTAAATCCAATAATTTTAACACAGATGCTCACAATCCCAAGAAACAGCAAAAAGAACTCAAAAAGCTAGTGCTTTATAATAACTAAGCAGTTAAACCACCTCACAGGAAAGGTGTATCTAATGAGTAAACACATGCAAGCTTATCCTGGGGTGATTCAATTATTAACCTAAGCTATTTAGACAAACGCGTTGAGTAGGAATTATACTAAATATCACCTGACTTTTAAATAACTGGTTTTTAGAATTTGGTAACTAATTTAAAGAAAAAATTAGCAAAGAAAATGAAATCAATAAGAATCCATTTTAGAAACTGCATCTTAATTCATAACTTCAAATCAAGGAACTTTCTAAAAAAACAAAAAACAAAACAAAACTGACTTTTAAATCCAATATTGACTTTATTTTTAAGTAATCACCTGATTGTACATCTAGATCCTTCATTAAAACTTTTCGCTAGCGTGGCCAGTGTGGCTCAATAGTTTGAGCATTGACCTATGAACCAGAAGGTCCTGGTTCGATTCCCTGCCAGGGCATATAGCCAGGTTGCCAGCTCAATCCTGAGTGAAGGAAGAGAAGAGGTTTTCAAGGGGGGGAGAAAAAGAAGGGCCAGCAGGAGCAGCTGATCAATGATTCTCACTCATTACTGATGTTTCTAGCCTTCTCTCCCTACCCTTCCTCTCTGAAACTATTATCTTTTATAAAAAAATAAAATGCCACTGACAAACACATCTACTGAAATATCAAAGCTAAAGTCAAATAGGTCATTCAGGTATTTCCTGAAAATCAGATTGTCTAACCTAAGCAAAACATTTGTTTTACATACAAATCACATTAAAATTTTACATCTGATCCATTTTTTCCAGCACTGTTTTCAGAAAGACCATGTCCTCACTGATTTAATAAAACCATGAACCACCTACAAATCAAACAAAAATCTCAAATATACAAAATTTACTTAAACGTATACAACTTTTTAATGCATATTTTTCATCTAGTTAAGACATGTTGGAAGAATGAAAAATTATGGAAAGTACAGGAAAGTGCGTGTGTGCTTTCTTTTAAAGATATTTTAAAGACAAAACCATCCTTTTAAAATATAAAACCATCTCAAGCTGGTGTGGCTCAGTGGTTGAACATTGACCTATGAACCAGGAAGTCATATTTCCATTCTAGGTCAGGGCACATGCCCAAATTGCAGGCTCGATCTCCAGTAGAAGGCATTCAGAGGCAGCTGATCAATGGTTCTTTCTCATCATTGATATTTCTATGTCTCCTCTCTCTGAAATCAGTAAAAATATATTTTTAAAAAATATGTACATCCTAGAGGCCCAGTGCATGAAAATTCATGCACTGAAGGGGGGACCCTCAGCCTGGCCTGCCCTCTCTCACAGTCCGGGAGCCCTCAGGGGCAAGAGGTGACCTGGCAATCAGGGGAAGGTAACGCCCCATCACACCTTTGCTGCTGCCACTGCTGGCAGCACAAGCCTCAGCCAGCCCTGGTTACCTGAGCCTTGGGCAGCCCTCGGTGGATGGGCAGCCACCAAACATCAGAGGCTTGCCTGCGCCTCAGGTCAGCCCTGAGAGGCTAGGGGGTTCTGGGGATGGGGGACTCAGAGGCGAGCCTGGCCATGCCACGCTCCTGCCGCCCCTGCAGGGCTGAGGGGACTGGGCACCTCCATCTTGTGGCTGCAGGTGCCATCATCTTTGAGGGTGTGACAATCAATTAGCATATTCCCTCCTTATTGGCTGTGGGCATCACATTTTTGTGATGGTATGACCATAGATTAGCATATTCCCTCTTTATTAGGGGTGTGTGTGTGTGTGTGTGTGTGTGTGTGTGTGTGTATAAATGTATGCATATACACTTCTATAATAATAAAAGTATAATATGCTAGTTAGACCAGACATCCTTCCTTCTGGACAAAGCTGCAGTGGGCGGGGGTCAAGGTCCTTGCATGAATTTCATGCATTGGACCTCTAGTATATTTATATAAAACTGATGGTCATTAGGGCTTTTGAGGATTTTATTAAAAACAAATAGAGTCAAAGCCGGTTTGGCTCAGTGGTAGAGCGTCGGTCTGCGGACTGAAAGGTCCCAGGTTCGATTCCGGTCAAGGGCATGTACCTTGGTTGCAGGCACATCCCTGGTAGGGGGTGTGCAAGAGGCAGCTGGTCGATGTTTCTCTCTCATCGACGTTTCTGGCTCTCTTATCTCTCTCCCTTTCTCTCTGTTAAAAATCAATAAAATATATTTAAAAAAATAAATAAATAAATAAATAAATAAATAAATAAAAAATAAAAAATAAAAACAAATAGAGACCTTGTCATTATTCTCTAAAATGTCACATACATACCCATATGTACACAAATGCACATGTGCCCATATTCACTTGGCACACATTATAACAAAGCAAGGCCTTCCTCACTTAACATCAGGCAATAAATAAAATCAAAATTCATATTCTTTAAGATGAAAGGCATTCAACTGATGATCCTGATTCAACAACCTTACAGTTAAATGAAATTAATCTCATTCTCAAAATCCATTGATCTTAAGCTTTTAATAAGCATTTTCCATTGCAAAAATTATGGTCAATATTTACAAATCTTTAAGCTTATATTTAGTTGGACCCACTTGTATTTGCATATTAATATTTCTCAGTAAGTATGTGCTCATTGTCTCGGAGCAGAAGAGCAGATGCTACTCACTGGGAATCTCTGGGGTCCCACCGCAGGTCTCTGTTGGCTCGGGACTGGCAGCAGGGGCACTGTGGGAAACACCTCTCATTAGAAACAAGTTGTGCTCACACCCACACCAGCTGCTACAGGAAGGCAATAGACTAAGTGTAACATAAAACATATACCATGTGCACAACATAAAACACATTAAGTTTGCATCAAGAGGAAGGGCTTCTGCCTTCACACAACAGCACAAAAAGCTTGCATTTCCACTGTGAGTTCCCAGTTAGGGTTAGAACATTTTGCAACAAAAGAACAACTTACTTTTTTTCACTTCCAGGTTACCCAGGCTATCCAATCCCAGGCATATCTCCGACTCCACTCAAATACAAATTGAAATCTAAATCCTCTAGAGTCATGAAAAGAGTGAGAGGGAAGAAAGGTGAGAGTGAAGCAGGCAGAGCAAGGGAATATACAAGCTCAGGGTATGGTTACAAAGAACTACTATGCTGAAACTTTTCTTTTTGTTTTGTTTTGTTTTGAAATAAGCAGAACTCCCACTGACCTATCAGAAAGACAAGGAATCACTTTTCTAAGGGAGGAGACCTGGGGCCAAATTGGGTATGTTTAAGCTGTAAAAAACGTGTGAGATCTCCTGATCTGGATGTAAGGAACCCCAGCACCTAAGTAGTGACTGCTGTGAGTGGCAGCTATACCTCTCACTAAAATGTGCTGCCCCATCATCTGGGAAACTCTCAGAGTGTCAAGTGTTATGGTCTGATCTGTGGCCTCTCCCAAATTCACATGCTGAAGTCCTACCACCAGTAACTCAAAATAGGACTGTATTTGAAAAAAGAGGTGATTAAGGTAAAATGAGGTTAAATGGTGAGCCCTAATCTGTGACTGACTGGTATCCTTGTAAGAAGAGATCACAACACAGACATGCACAGAGGAACAACCAAGTGAGGCTACACACAGCAAGAATAAGAACATAGCTTATAAATTAGAAATATAGTAATATTACATAATATTTTAAAATAGTATATTTTAAAGAAATTTCTGGCAAGTGAGAAATAGAGAAATGATACAGTTTAAAAGTCAATCAAAACTGCTTTGGAAACAGAGTGCGGAGATGCACTGTTTATTTACTACAATTACTCTAGGCCAGTGGTTGGCAAACCGCGGCTCTCAAGCCACATGCGGCTCTTTGGCCTCTAGGTGTGGCTCAACATTAGAACCACTTCTTCAAAACAGACTCGCCCAGGCCGAAAACCGACTTCTGCGCATGGGCCATGAAGCTTCAATCGCACTGTACGTACGCGCCCACGCATGGTATTTTGTGGAAGAGCCACACTCAAAGGCCCAAAGAGCCAAATGTAAACTGAGAGCCGCGGTCTGCCAACCACTATTGTAGGCATTTATACACTAAGCCTTGTAATTAACATCACACATCCACAGGTCCACTGAAAGTGGTAGTGTAGATGGATGGGCCTGTAAGGCCACTTGATCAAAGCAAAGTGCAAATGAAAAAACTTATTTTGATAAAATGTAAAAAATACAGAAGTACATCCCTCTCTTGAGAGCCTAATCCAAAATTTCAAAGTAAGTAAATTTGCAAGACTTCATATAAAATAGCAGCTGGCCCCTCAACCTATGTAGCTGGCTAAAGGCTCTGGGTACATCGATTATATATCTGAAGCAAAATAGTAGACCATGAAGTGGAGAAAGAGCGTACCTCTGACCTGAAAAGATTATCATGAAAGTAAAGAAGAAAAATTACGCATTAAATAATATAAGGACAGCATTTTTTAAAATACGCACCAAATTTTTAAACATTTTTTTAATAAAGCTGGCGTGGCTCAGTGGTTGAGCGATGACCTATGAACCAGATCAGGGTTCAATTCCCAGACACGGTACATGCTCATGTTGCAAGCTCGATCCCATGTGGAGTGTGCAGAAGGCAGCCAATCAATGGTTCTCTCTCATCACTGATGTTTCTCTCTCTCTCTCTCTCTCTCTCCTTCTCACTTCCTCTCTGAAATCAATTAAAAAATATATATTTTTTAAATTAAAAAAATAAACCATAAAACCCAATGGGAAAAGAGGAGAAAAAGAATAACACTGACAAGAACATCTGAGAACAGGTATGATGCGTAGATAGAATCTAGGCAGGCCAGAGAGAAGGCATCTGTGACCTGTCTCCTAGGGGCCCTGCAGTGCACCTGGTCTGCAGGCAGGAAGACAAGTCTACCTATGAGAGAACTTCAAACTTGGATTGTTAACAGATGATTCCAGTTGAACCTTAAACTCCAAGTATTTGATATTTAAGACAACATCTTCTGTGTCCCACGTACTTAATGGATTAGATTAGCTTTCGATTCACTGCAACAGTTCTAACAGTGAACAACTGAAGAACACGTTGAATTTCCACCAGAACTAGTTAATTACAATTTGATGGAACACTTCCTTGAAAAAGAAATGTGTGCCATCAAGAAAAGGTATGTACATGCTTATTACCTTTTACATGTACCTTCCACCTGCCTATAATCCCAAGAACCACTAGGCTCCTCTCTCTTAGTATCTAGCAGAAAGCTAGATACTAGCCTCTCTTAAGAGAACTGCTTTCTACTTAAGCTCATTCACTTGCTCTCTCCCTACACCAGCGAATCTCAAGGTCAAAGATGCGTCAAGGAGAAGGAATGTGTGGCACAAAGCCCCGGCTTCGTGATGAAAACCATTTCACTTATTCTGAGGGTAAAACTTGCCGGGAAGGTGACGTGCACTTACTGAGTCTGCACGGGCTCTGGGTGCCAGGCCTCTGTCTATGCCCATCAGGCTGCTAAGTCAGCAAAGTACATGCCTTCACGCCTGAAAGACACCCTGAGTCTCCTTAGCACTCTCCCACTCTGCATGCTCTCCACCACTTATTTCCTCAGGCCACACCTACCTATGCCTGACCAACTGCCAGTTCTCCCTCACTGTGCAAGAAAATACGCAATGACAAAGGCTGACGTCAATAAAGTCATTCCCACAGCTGGATTTCCTCCAGGCGCAGGTCCTGGGCAGTCACTATGGAAAAGGCTACTTGTGTGCACCCTACTTGCTCCCGTCAACATGCGCAGGTCCCTTCCTCCCACAGCTACTAGAGCAGACACAGGTAGTGTGCTCATCACACAGACTCTAATATGCCCTGCAAGACAGTGAGGTCACTGAGTGATTCTAATATATGGTGGGGACAAGCGAAGGGGTCAGTCGGGGTCAGGGACCGACAGCGCTAACACCTGATCTTGCAAGTGTGTCCAACAAGAGCAATCTCCTGTAGCAACACAAGGACACTGACCCTCCTCTGCCCACCCCCACGGCCAGCCTGCCAGTTACAGCCTTCTGCTCCAAGGCCACAGCACTTCACAGCGCCTCCAGGCCGCTGGCCCTCTCCACACTCCAAGTCCTATTCTCAGCCTTCTCCTCAAGATTCGAAACTTCTCAACCACACCTTTGGAATTCCAAGTTCTCAGCCACCAGAGCCCATGCTGGCCTCAGCCTGACCCCTTCTTGCTCTAATGGAAAGCTAGTTGTCCCAAAGGATGCTGCTGTTTTCCCTCACAGCCTTCCCCACTGGCTCTGGAGGTAGAGAGGGGCCCTTCGTGGCCCTCAGCGCTGTTTCCTGCCCCAGTGTTCCACACTAGCTACCTGATTACACACCAGCAGCCTCCTTCAACTCTCACCTCCCTAATGCAGCCAGCCAGCCCTACCTGCTCCATCTGTCAGTGCCCTGGCATCCCCGAACCTGCCACAGAAATCCTTATGTTTATGGCTATCTTTTAAAACGCAAGACCATGACTGCAAAAAGATGTCTGCTTTGTACACTAATGTAACTCAGTGCCTGAGATAGAAGCATCACAGCCGACATGCTGGACAGAGGCATAAAGATGTGCTCCTGCCCTAGCCAGTTTGGCTCAATGGGTAGAGCATCAGCCCAACTTAAGGGACTCAAGTTCAATTCTGGTCAAGGGCATGTACCTGGGTTGTAGGCTTGATCCCTGGTCCTGGTTAGGGTTCCTGCAGGAGGCAACCAGTCAATGTGTCTCACACATCAATGTTTTTTTCTCTCCCTCTCCTTTCCTCTCTAAAAATTAATGTTAAAAATACTATCACATGGTTCATTGGCTGTCCTATGAACCAGATCAGTTTGATTCCCAGTCAGGGCACATGCCCAGGTTGTGGGCTCAATCCCCAGTGGGAGGCATGAAGGAGGCAGCTGATCAATGATTCTCTCTCATCGTTGATGCTTCTATCTCTTTCTCTCCCTCTCCTTTCCTCTCTAAAGTCAATTAAAAATATATTTAAATATATATATATCCTTGGGTGAGAATTAAGCAAAAAAAGATGTGCTCTGTACCAAAGGCATGAAAACAGTTTCCTCGAGCCAGGAAATGGTAATATGTGACGTTATCACTTAAAACTTATGACTAAAGGTAAATTTGTGTGCTTACCCACGCGCATGCGTGCACACACACACACACACACACACACACACACACAACCACCAGCTAACAGGGGGACTCACGGAGAGCCCCTGAGTGGGACTCAAGGAGGCACCCTGCTAACCCTCCACAATGCCTCTCCTGCCCTCCAAATTCCATGCCTACAACCCAATCAGAATCTCAGACACACATCTGTCAGAAAGCACCCAGCCCTTGAGTAGCAGGAGTCTAAGTGGGTGAGGAAGACAGCGGGAAGCCAAGTTGTCCTTGCAAGTAGGAGCATGACATCTCTTTGGCCATGGCAACAACAGAGACACATACCTTGCACAGGCGTCACCACCGCTCCTTTGAAGTGGGGGTTTATGTGGATGTTCTTGGGCTGCTGTGGGGTCACAGGTGGAGGGGTCATCATCACCCTGGGCGCCTCCATCTGGGGTGGCACATGCATTCCTTGCGGAGGGGAGGGGTGGTGCGGGTGCTGCAGGGGCAGCAGGGGCTGTAGGGGCTGCTGCTGGAACAGGCTTCGAATGGGCTGCTGCTGGGGTGGCGGTGGGGGGGGAGGCTGAGGCTGGGTTGGAGGAATTAATCTTGGAGAGTGCGTCTAAAACCACAAAAAAAGACAAATTCACAGAAATCAAGATTTAAAAGCAAAGAAAAAGTCTGGTGGGCATGTTACAGACTTACACTGACTAAATTGTAAAAGTTAGAGGAGTTGGAAGTAAGCTCATAGTAACAAGCTCTATGACACAGCAGGCAAGGAGGCTGCTCCTCCTGTCCCACGAGCTCTGCCATCTCACCATGCGCTCAATCTCAGGGCGAGGGGAGCAGACATGGCAGTTCAACCAGCAGAACAGCCCCCAGTGAGCCACGCACCACACTGAGGACAGACCCAGGCTGCCCCGCCCTCAATGCAAGTCTTCTCTATGCTGTCCCTTGTGGAAGGTCTCTTACTACAACTTTCTCCACAAGCACTTGTAACGGAATGGTTTCTACTGCTGAATACTAGAGGACAGAATTTACAAGACCACATAAAAAATCATTATACATTATAAATAAACTTAAGGAACTTCAGCTGCATTCCTACTACTAACCTTTACTTCCATTTAACTGATCAATACAAAATGACATACCCACAAAAGTATATTTTCATTTGTTCTAGTTTTAGACTCAAGAAAACTGTAACATTACCACCACGGGAGGCTGTGTGGGGAGCAGCGCAGGTCTGTGGTCCTTCATGCGGCCCCTCTCGCTGTTCTCTCTTCTCTGGTCCCCCATTCCACGACACATTAGAGGGCCTCCTCTCCTCCCGCCCCGCCGTGAACCATAGCGGCCCTGCTTATGCTGGCGTTCTCTTTCTTCAAACTCAAGCAATGCAGCTTTGGCTTCTGCTGAAAGCTCTGTGTGAAAAGATGTGACCGTGTTAGAAACATTCAGAGCGGGGACAAGACTCACAGGAAGAACACAGAGAAGAAACACGTGACAATGAAACTGTGCAACAGCAAGTGCTTCCCCACACAGGCAACTACATCGACAGGAGCAAGCACAACACAGGGGCGAGCCCAGCCCACGGGAAAGCCCTGTTCGATGGGGGCATGCTCCTGCCGTGAATACAAGTGCTTCCTGTGTACAAAGACTGGAACATATTTTTACTTGGGACCACTAACGTGCTGAGGGAGCTGAAAAGGGGGCTCAAGTCAAAGTCAGCCACTGCCCTTCAGCTGCCGGGCAGGTGCCATCAGAACAGCTCAGGACCCGCTCCCCGGTCCCACCCAGCACAGCTGTCCTAGTGAAGCCAGCATAAGCACTGCTAAGACACAGGGACGACACAGAGACTCAAAAAAACTCATACAACAAAACAGATTCCTGACTCTTCTGATCTTAAAACAAAACTATTAGTGAAAGCACTCCAAAGTCAAATAATTGCCATTAAGCCCAGCCCACGTTGCTAGTGGTTATAGTGCCAACCCTTGACACCTTGACCAGGTTAGATTCCCAGTGAAGGGGTCAAGAGCAGGAACTGGGTTGCAGTTTCACTCCCTGCCCTCCAGGGTTGGCGCACCTGTGGGCAACAACCCACCAGTCCATATGCATGTATCTCTTTCACATCGATGCTTTTCTCTCCCTCTCTTCTTCTCTCCCTCCCTCCCCTGTGAAAAAGCAATGGAAAAAAATATCCTCATGTGAGGATTAACCAAAAATAACAAAATAATTAATGTAATGTCATACAAAATGGAAAACACTTACTAATATCATTACAAATTTTTTGTTTTATAAAAAAAGAAAAATATTTTTTCTGGGTAAAGAAAGGCCTTCTGATGAGGAACCATACCAAATGAGAGCAAAATCTCATTAGAAAAAACGTATTAATGCAAACATTTGTGGGACACCAGCAGGTGCTCACCTGTCTGACCACACTTTAGAGCAGGGATTTTCAACCTTTACATCTCCTGGCACATAGACACTAATTACTGAAATTCTATGGCACACCAAAAAATATATTTTTTGCCCATATGACAAAAAAAAAATAGATTCATTCACACAGACAATCATTGTTGTGTTGGCTGTCGTCATTTTTTTTTTTTATTTGACAGTCTAAGGAAAAAGAGGTCAGTACCCTGACTAGTCAAGTATTGCATGTTTTTAAAATCTTGCTGCTCACTCGTGATTGAAAATCAGGGCTTAAGAGATACGAAACACATAGACTCTGTCTCTAAGAAACTTCAGCTATCATTCTAAAGTCCTAAAAGAAAAGAACTGACCCAAATATGATTCCTTTATTTAAAAATATTATCAGAGTTGTGACAATATATCTTACATCAATAAATGTGTCCTGAGAAGCATTCTTACGCCTTCTTCCACAATGAAGGGTACATTGTAAATATTACCAGTTTATCTCCTACTTTAGGAATCCATAGTCATCTCTAAACTCTTCCAAAATCTCTAAGCCACACTTCATTCCCTTGAAATGGTTTCTATGGTAACCCCTCCCCTTCAAATGAATCGCGGCCCCATTCGAAGGAATATTTAATCTCTTCTTAACAAGCACAGACTTTTACTCTAATCTTGACTACATGATTGGTTCACATACACATTTTATGCGGTGAATCAGCAATTATTTTTCTAGTGGTTCTAAGTGTCAAGATTAATTTCACTATCCCCAGTAATAAAATGGTTTCAAATGACATCTTTAATCAGCAAGTAAAAATGCTTTCCTCCAATTGAGACAAGCTGTCACAAAAGGTCACCAAAATATGACAGGATGGAAATTACATTTGTATCTTCAACTGAAATGTTAATTTTCCTTTAAGTGTTTTCTGTACTATGTCCAGATTCTAAAGGAGAGATATAGCTCAATGTAACAAGTTTTAAACTGCATTTTCCCTTTCTAAAATGTGCTTTAAAAAAATGTATTTACATACAAATAATTGTATAATGATTGGACTAATACATAATTAATAAGTATTTATAGAATACACAGTTTATTTGGCAAAGTAAAAACAACACACGATAATCTGTTTTTTTTACACGAAAACTGATCAGGAAATGTGCACAAAGCCTGCAAACACAGGATCTGTGTAGATGCAGGGCAGTGTGCTGGCACTAGAGATCTGGAACTGCATGACACCAGATGGAACATTTCCCCACAGATCCTGTGCCATAAAAAAATTATCTGAGGATACAATTTAAAAGAGAACATCATTCATCACAAGAGCTTTAGGCTGAAGCAATAAAGCATAATTAAACATAATAAATGTGCCAGTAGAAGCTTAGAATATCATAAAATCTAAGTGCCTAATCATAGATAATTTTTTTTAAAGCCTAACTACAATAAATGTAGTCTTTCCTTCATTGCTTGCCCGGCTTCAAAGAAAATCCAGGTCTGCTTCCTAGGCCAAAACAGCAGGCAGCTTGGAGCTTCTGTGCTGATACTGGTTAAGGACAGTTAAGGACACAGGAAACTGGTTAAGGGCACCCACATTTTAGTGATGGCTTCTGGCATTACCACCCAAAATAAGCCATCCCTTACACATATATGTTCTAGAAATAGAAACTCTTCTTAACTGGGTTCCACAAAAGAAGCCCTAAAGCATCCTTTGTGCATAACAAATGAATTTACATGCCAAGTATGAAGTTTTGCACCATTCCTAGGAAAACTGAGAAACACACATTTTCTGTAATGTTTCATTCCCAGAATCCTGGATGAGGGAAAAAGCTCACTACTTAAGATCTTACACTAACTAAAAACCCAAAAGTCAAATTCTTATTCAATCTGAATTCAAAATAGGAAATCACCAACTCTGTACTGGGTTCTATACTTGCAATGCTTGTCAGATATGAATTGCTAGTCTTCATTTTTTATTTTATTTATTTATTTATTTTTTAGAGAGAGGGATAGTTAGAAACATCGATGAGAGAGAATCATCAATCAGCTGCCTCTTGCGCACCCCCTACTGGGGATGTGCTCGCAACCAAGATACATGCCCTTGACCGGAATCAAACCCGGGACCTTTCAGTCCGCAGGCTAACGCTCTATCCACTGAGCCAAACCAGTTTTGGCAACTAGTCTTCATTTTTAAGTCTGGCATCATATTGACCAATACACCCTTCTAAACTCTAAAGAAAACTACTATTACACATGCAGATTAAAGGCTCAGAAATGGGGGCGCCAAAGCCTCATCTCATTCTTCTTTTTAAAGTGCTGGTATTCTCAATATTAATCAATAATTTCACAAAATAATTATTTGTATTCAAAATGCTAAAAGACATCATTTGACAAAAAATATATACCATATGAAATGATAAATGTATTCTGGTAGCAAGATATTAAAACTAAAACCCATTACGAAGAGTAGGTAAATAACTTTATCAATCAAATAAATGTATTTCTACACAAAACATGAAATTATTGTTTCCATCGCCACAAGCACACAGAGGAGCTGTGAAGTGATTTCTAGTTTATAAATATTGTAGCAGTATCTTTCTTATAAATAAAACTAATCTTTTGTTTAGGGAATGGGAGTGTTCAGGTAATAAGGGAGCTCATTGTTTTTAGGAAACCAATCTTTAAATGGACAGAAAAATCCTACTTGGCTGGAAATACTCCTAACTTTTCAGTTTTTAGAAAATGTATGTTTCCTAGGTTAGGGCTCACAAATACAGAGCCAAAAAATATACTTTCAAGCCCTATTTTTATTTGTCCTATTATCTAACCAATCATTCTGCACCAGTGCATTTAAAGCCTTTTTTAAGTTGAAAGAATGATAAAAAGTCAAATGGTTTATGTTTAAGCCTCAATGCCTCTCAGGACCTCAGACCCTCTCCAAGACATGTAAAAGGGCCAACTTGCCCACCATTAATTCCTTCCAGCCTCTGGCCTCAGGATGGCATGACTATAAAGCTGTCAGATGCCTTGAAAAGGAAAAAAAAAAAAAAAAAAAAGATTGTACACAAATTCTGCAATAAAGAAAGTACAAATGATACTGAAAAGAACAAAGTGAGGCAAAGTTCCTGATAAAGAAGAGAAGCAGAAATAAAACAAACACAAACTATGAACACAGACAAGCTGGACGTCTCACCATTGCCAGGCCTGGGTCAAGGAAAAGTGGACAAGGACAAGATAACCCAGCTGAGGACCAGGGGGCTGTGCAAAGGCAGCCAGGATCGGGGGAGGGTGACCCATGAAATCCACCAGGGCCTAAAGCAGTGGTTCTCAACCTTTTTAATGCCGCGACCCTTTAATACAGTTCTACAGCAGCAGTTGAGAACCACTAGCAGGGTCGCCTAAGACCATCAGAAAACACATATATTTAATTTGCAATTCTTAACAGTAGCAAAATTACACTTATGAAGTAGCAATAAAAATAATTTTACAGTTGGGTGTCACCACAACATAAGGAACTATATTACAGGGTCGCAGCATTAAGAAGGTTGAGAACCACTGGAAAGGGAGCTGGCTGCAGAGGGAAAGTTTCCCATTCTTAATGGTGACTATCAAGTGATTTCACAACCTTAGCACATGCCGCTCCCACAGTTATTATTACTGGATATATCTGGTTCCCCAATTAATGCAACAAAGCCAATCCCAGCTAACAAAGCCACAGAAACCTGCCCCCATACGGGTACCCTCCAACATGGCACCTAGGCCATTTCCCTACTGAGCCACTGCCCAGTGCCCTCTAGTGCTCTGCCAAGAGTGCCATCTTGCCCTTGTCCATTATCCCAGCCCAAGTCTGAGCTGTGTCCTCCAGCAGGCTTGCTCTGTAATGCTACCATCCTCCTGCTGAGGGTACGTTTGTTTTTTCCCATGTGCTTCATCTCCTTTTCCCAAGGCCAATTTCCAATCTTTTCTTAGAAATTTGCACTGTCCTAGACTGACAACTTTATACCTTACCTTGAGAAAAGTCTAAGAAAATCTTGGGCCAAAAGGTAGAGATGGAAAAAATTGTTAGAAGGAAAAGTAGAGACCGGTACAATTCTAGAACAATCTCTCCACAAAGTTCATTAGTGAAGTAGCATGACACGACTGGCTCATGCTGTTAACTTGTGCAACTTGGAGACTTAAGTGTCCTCACATAGAATTCATATCTGCTCATGTTTATAACTGAAAATGACTACAAATCATGTTTGTTTGTTTGTTTTGTGTGTGTTTAAATATATTTTATTGAATTTTTACAGAGAGGAAGGGAGGGGGCTAGAGAGTTAGAAACATCAATGAGAGAGAAATATCGATCAGCTGCCCCCTGCACACCCCGCACCAGGATACATGTCCTTGTCCGAAATCGAACCTAGGACCTTTCAGTCTGCAGGCGAAAGCTCTATCCACTGAGCCAAACCAGTCCGGGCCAAATCATAGTTTTAAGTAATAAAGGTTAGTTTCTTGACTGTTATTCTGACTAAGACCAGAGAACAAATACAATCCTCTAGCCTTCCATCTCCCCATTTTCCTCCTCGGAATATGATAAAATATCCCAGTGGTTCTCAAAGTGTGGTCAGACAGCATCACCTGGGAACGCATCAGAAAAGCGCCTGTGTTGGGCTCCACCCTAATGCTGGGAGTGGGTCCCGAAATCTGTGTTAACGAGCCTTTTAGGTGGCTTGCTCACTCATATTTGAGAACCACTGCTTTATTCTCTGCAACAGACACTGGAAGGAACCGTGGGAAGGCTCTCTGCTGATCAGCAACAGCCTACTATCAATCTTTAAGTTGCAGGACTTGCTCAGAATGACAGTCAATTGATTGTGTCTACAACAAGTCACATAGCACTGTAGCTCGGCTCCGTCTTCACACAGACCACCCACCTCTGATGGCATGCATAATAATCTAGAAAGTCAACGTTTCTTTACCTATTTGATTAATCGTAACTGTACTATGGAGGAAGTTGAAATGGGAATAAGGAAAGATGGGAAATAGCCAAAAATAGTTACCCAAAGTTTCTGGAATGTTCCTTCTCTCTCGAGTTACGTCTGAGAGCCTAATAATTGTTCCTTCTTTCCTTTCAGTTTTGAAACGCAATCTTCCAGATTCTTCATCCTCATCATCTTCTTCATCTGATTCTTCTTTTATTTCCTTCTGCATTTCCAAAGTCTCCATACTCCCCTACATTGCAGACACACAAAACAAAGGGGAATGAGTTCACCTTTTGAATTAAAATTGAAGAATATAAGTTTTTTTACATTTAAGATATAAAATGTCCTATTATGAGGCAATGTGAGAAAATAATCTCAAACATTAAAAATTAACTTAATGTTAGAAAAGGATTATATTCCTACATGTTGCTAATTATACTTCAGAAAGAAGAAACATAAATTCCAACAACCCCTTCGGGCCTGGAGTCTAATCCAGGTTCTAACAGAGTCCAAGGTATGGACTAAGCTAACACTGGCCTTCCCTGGGCTCCCCCAGAGCATGTGACTCACCTTGTTCCTCACCTCAGATGACAGGACACTCCTTCCTTACACAAGCTGGGTGTGCCCTGCAATTGCTGACACTGCCCCTTGAATGTGTACGCCCCTAAGACTCCCCATCTGCTAGAGGGCTGGTTTGTTTGCAGCCCCCAAGTCTGCCCTTCCTCACTCCCCTTCTGCTCAATGCCTGTCTGCAGCTGGCTACCACCACCTAAGCTCCAAAACAGCAGGACTGGTCTTTTTCCTCAGTCACTGCTTCTCACTAAAACCAGCTTGTACCTTACATTCCATTACATCACTATTCCTACAAAAACTCTGCCTGATCTAGCCCCCAAAACTAGATGCTTCTCGTCATCAACAATTCTCAATGTCCATTTCAGTCATGTTCCTTTTGACCCTAATCGCTTTTCACCTCATATTGTCTTAGTGACCTACTGTTAGATAGTGCTAGGTTAATTTAAATACTTTTTATAAACTTAAAAAAGTATATTTTTATTTCCATAACTCATAATATTTATAACAGAATGAAAAATGAACTGCTTCATTGGCAAGTACAATGCAATCATTTTGCATTCTTTCCCCAACATTTCTGTGCAAGAAGATCAGCTGCAAATGTACATACTCAATTGCTATAAATCCTACAAGTAAAGGCATATTTTCAGGAACACAAATGCCTGAAAATAGAATGATGAAGGTAAGCTGTAATTTTATTTTAGGCCTAATGATTGCAATACCACCTTTTGGTATTCTATTCACAATACTACAAGGCTTTAAAGTACTAAAATATTGACATTTTGTTGGTCTGATAGTATTATTTCTCTCTTACTCAATAGCTGAAACCAATGAGTGACATATGAGATGGATCCAGCTAGGTGTGTGCTGCACTACACTCAAACTGAACGCTGGTGAGCTTTCTCCACCTTCAACCACAATGTTCCAATTTATCACTTTTTAAATGTTTGTATTGATTATTAGAGAGAGAGGAAGGGAGAGGGATCAAGAAATAGAATCATCAATGAGACAGAAACATCATGAGTTGGCTGCCTTCTGCACACCCCCTTACTAGGAATGGAGCCTGCAACCAGGGCATAAGCCCTGACCAGGAATTGAAAAAGTGACCTCTTAGTTCATAGGTCACTCCTCAACCACTGAGTCACACCAGCCAGCCCACAATGTTCCAACTTAATATTTCAACCAAAGACTGAGAATCTGATTCTGAAGGTCCAAATGGGGCCTGAGATTCTGCATTGCTAACAAGTGTGAGGTAAAGCCCACATGCTGGTCTAGCAACCACCCCTTGAAAGGCCACAGAAGAGGAGAAGAAATGACTACCAATGAAGCAAAGACTCCATCACAACTGTCATTTCTAATTCAACCATCAACAGTAACGTTTCAAAAACTTTTCAAATAAGCTGAATAGAAAATATGACAGTACCAAAACTAATAGTTTATCCTTTACCCATACCTCCAGCTAAGAAATCTAAAGAGGACCAAGGTGAATTGAAAACTGTTTCTTTGAAACAAATATAGGTGACCCTTGAACAATATTGGTGTTGGAGTACCAACCCTCTGCTCAGTCAATGTATTGAATATTTCCCCCTACCATCAAGAACAAGTCAAGAACACTTGCCCTCAAATGTAAGGTCAATAAGGCAAAAGAAAGAAATAAAAGGACAGGCTGGAAATGAAGGATTAAACTGTGTTTATTAACAGGCAGCATAATCATTCGTCTTTCCCCAATATTATTTAAACATACAATGCAATCTTCATCAAAATCCAAATAAATTTTTAGTAGATATTGACAAACCAATTACAGACTTTATATGGAAATTCAAAGGTCCTAGAACAGCCCAAACAACCTTGAAAAGGAGAACAAAATTGGTGGACTTACATTAACTGATGTCATATCAAAGTAAGCAGGACATGAAGTATTGGCAATGAAATAAAAAAAAGAGATTCCAAAAAGAGATTCTAATTTAAATGATTAATTGATACTCAACAGAAGCACTAAGGCAATTAATTCAATGGGAAACCAAAGCCTTTACAACAAATAATGAAGCAATGACTAATAAACACAGAGGAAAATAATGAATCTCATACCACACACACATTTCTTAGATGAGATAGATCGAGGACCTAAGCAAAAAACAGCTAATACTATTAAAGCTTGAGAAGAAAACAGAGGCTATTACCTTTGCAACTTTGGGATAAATAAAGATATCTTGGGTCACAAAATTATTGTTCATCAAAATAAAAAATTTCCTGCCCAGTCGGTGTGGCTCAGCAGTTAAGCACTGATCCAGAAACCAAAAGGTCACCAATTCGATTCCTGATCAGGGCTTATGCCCAGGTTGTGGGTACCGTCCCCAGTGGGGAGGCATGCAGGAGACAGCCAATCAATGATGTTTCTCTTTCATCAGTGTTTCTTTCTATCCCTCTTTAAAACACCAATTTAAGACACACTGCTATTTAAAATAAAATTTTCTGCTCATGGTAAAATACCTTGAAAAAGATTAAAAAACAAGCCACAGGCCAGAGATAATATTTATTATATATACACTGAGTGGCCAGATAATTATGATCTCTGAACACATAATAATCTGGCTACTCAGAGTGTGTGTGTGTGTGTGTGTGTGTGTGTGTTTATTTTAGAGGCCCGGTGCATGAATTAGTGCAAGGGTGGGGTCCAGCCAGCCTGGCCAGGGAAGGGGATCTGGTCTGCCTGCTGGTCGAATTTCTGGTCCAGGGGACAATTTGCATATTAGCCTTTTATTATATAGGATATACACTGAGTGGCCAGATTATGCGTTCAGAGATCACAATAATCTAGCCACTCAGTGTGTATGTGTGTGTGCCATACACACACACATACACACAAACACACACATAAAATTCATCATATACATACTAGAGGCCCGATGCATGAAAATTTGTGCAAGAATAGGCCTTCCTTCCTCCCTCCACCCTTTCTGCACCTGCTGCCGACATTGGCTTTCCTCCTCTGGACCCCAGCAGGCATCTAGGACTCAGGCTGGCTTCCATCGGGCCCTGGCTTCATCAGGAAGGATGCTTGGAATGACACCCAGAAGACATCCAGTTTAATTAGCATATTACCCTTTTTTTATTATAGATTATATATATCTGCCAATGGACTTATATTAGAATATATGCATATTCATCTATCTAGAATATAGACAGTATGTAGAGACACAATCTATACTGAAATCTATAAATAATATATATGTATAAACAATACATATTTTTGTGTAGACTATATAAACTATGTATAGCATATATAGACAAAAAATTTAAAGACAACCTACTTTTAAAAAGAGACTAAAAATGATGCAAAGAAGATATAGAAGTCCAGCACATGGAAAGGTACAAAACATCACTAGTTATCAGAGAACTACAAATTTAGACCATGATAACACACCCACTGGAAATACTAAATAAACAAGATTAACAACAGCAAATGATGGAAAACAAGTGAGATCTTATGCATGACTGGTGGGAGTACAGAATGATACAACCACTTTGGAAAATCATTTGGTGATTCTGTATAGAATTAAACATAATCCTACCCTGTCCCATTAATTCCACTCCTAGTTAATACCAAGTGAAAAGAAAAGACACAGCAGTAAAAGGAAATGGGAACAACCCAAATATCTATTATCAGGATAAATGAACAAGTACTGTGCCCATCACTGAATGTAAATGTTATCACAACTGAACAAGTCAATATTTAAATAGTGCAAAGATTTTTTTTTAAAGCTTCTCTCATCTCTTCCTTTATATGTGCCAAAACTAAAATAGCAACCTTTTAAACCATTTTTTAAGACAACAGCACAACTGGCACTGATACGGCCGTATAATTTAAAAAGCTGATCATCTTCATAATTACATCTTTCTAATTTGTTTTCGGTATAACGATTTCTTTGTATTAACCAATCAAGAACACTCATTAAGTAAAAGGAGCAACCTAAAAGAGGCTTTTAAAATGAAATTACTTTTGAGTTCCATAACTCAGATTCTAATATGTTCTTAAACACAACTACAGAGATCAAGTCATCTGAAAGGCAAGATGCTCTCTACTGTTTGAAGCCACCCAGAGCCTTGCGCACTGCCAGGCAACACAAGCCAAGTACTGTTGGTACATCAACACCCTGCAGGCATTTAAGAAAATGGGTCAAAAACTAGGGAGACCCTATAAGTGGCGAATTAAAGCCGATGATCCTCCCTGAGGACTTTGTAACTTAGACTTCTAGAACAGAGAGAATGCCAGTCCTCCAAAAGCAAAGCCCTCCAAAAGACGCTGAAATGGCACAGGACACCAGCCTCTCCTGAGCACCTGAATAGCACCAGGCCCAATTGCTCAATAATGGTCCTTCTGCCTGCCTGACAGGCAGTGATTCCACTCTAAGAAAACAAGCCAGCAAATCTCTGCTTCCGAGGGCTGGTAAAAGTCCCTAGAGCAAAAAGTGTTAGTACAAGTTATTGTCAATCAACACAAAAATGAACAACATGAACAAGATAAACCAACAATCAAGGACAAAAGGCTGAGAAAGTAAATGTATGCTGACTCTCCTAACAGGTGGTATAAAAAGACAAACTATTTCATCTGGATTGGATTTTACTTTCTGCTCTATAAAGAGATTCATATTGAAAATGACTCAAGTGTTTCATATGAGA